TCAACAAACTGATGCAGCACTGGAGGCACTCACTCATCTATGCCAGGAATTTTGGAAGATAGCTACCTTTGCCAACTGATTGGAAGAGATCCGTATTTTTACCCATTCCAAAGAGAGGTGACCCATCAGAATGTGGAAATCATCAGGCAGTATCATTAATATCACATGCAAATAAAATTTTGCTAAAGAGAATTCAAAAACGGCCACTACAATACATTGACAGGGAACTGCAGACGAGGACGTAGAACGAGGGATATCATTGTTGATGTCAGATGAATCTTGGCTGAAAGCAGAGAATACCAGAGATGTTTACCAACTCGATGGCACCTAATAGCAACAACAATATGCCTGACCACACCAGTCCACAAGTATCCACACATGTCCACTCCTATCCATATCTGTCCCTGTCTGTCCACCCCTATTCACACCTGGTCACATCTGTCCACAACTATTCACACCTTTCTACTTCTGTCCATACCTGTCTGTGCCTAATCACCTCTATTCACACCTGGCCACAACTGTCCACACCTATCAATGCCTGTCCACTCTTGTCCACAACTCTGCAGAACTATCCACAGCTGTACGCCCCTGTTCACAACTACCCATGCCTATCCATTCATGCTCATGTCTGTCCACCCCATCCGTACCTGTTCACTCCTGTCCATGCCTGTCCACCCTTATCCAGCCACACCTTTCTACCACTGTCCACATCTGTTCCTGGTGTGGTGCTGCGGGCTAATGAGTCAGACTATGAAGTTGTTTGAATTTCAAGTTCGGTTCAAGCTCACCAGCTGCTCCTTGGAAACCCTGTACAGGGTTGCTATGGGTCAGAATTGACTCAACAGCACTTAACAACACATCTGATCACAACTATTCACACTTGTCCATTCCTGTCCACACCTGTCCATCCTTAGCTACACCTATCTACCTTTGTCCACACCTGTATGCATTTCAAACCTGTTCACACCTGCCGGTGCTTACCCACACCTGCTCACACCTGCCTGTCCCTGTCCATGACCACCCACTCACTGCCATCCACACCTGTTCACACCTGTCTTATTTTGCACAGCCTTCCCAGGCTTTCCAAGGTCTGCTCAGGATCCCTCGATTCATCCGCTACATGCATTCCTCACTGTTTTCTGGACTTTTGTTTTTTTTCCTGGATGAATTTTTACATTGTTTTGGAAAGTTTCCTCCAATTACATCTATGTTTTGATTGAAAAGGCATTAAACATGCATGCAGTTTTTGTTAAGTTTATGCATACTTACTCACATTTTTTGCTACTACTGCAATAGATCTTTCAACTATGCTGATATTTTTTTAAAAAAGGAAACAAAACATTATTGAGGTTTGTGTATTTCTTTTGTAACCTGCCACGTTACAAAATCCAAATTCTATTATTCAAATGATGTTTTTCCAATTTAACCTTTTGACTTTTGCCTATCGTTGCCTATAAATAATGATGAATGTCTTTTTATATTGATTGTATTTTCTGTTTTATTGTCTCCCCTTGAGTTCTTGTGTCTGAAGTTTCTGGAAATTCTCGGGCAGTATTAATTACATCTGCCAAAGCTTATTGTGTTTGCTAAGGGCAGGTGGAGAGAGACATTATTGCTTAAACTGCTGGGTTTCTGTCTGTGGGGAACGGAACACTTTTGAAATGGATAGGGGTTACGGCTGCATGGCAGGGTGTATTCTACTGAAACATGCATGAAAAGATGGCTGAAATGGCCAACCAGGAGGGCAGGAGTCTTCACAGCGAGGATCATTTCCACCCCCTGTGTACACAGGGGTGATAGGGATGGATAATTTAGATATCAGTTACCTAAAATGGGGCTATAAAGGCACGAAGTGACTGGCTTGCAAGTTTTCAAGAGGGAGTTTAGATTCAGAGTGTGTGGGGGAAGGTAGAATCCCCATTGAGTGGTTTTCATCCTGTCTAGACGGGGCTGGTGAAAGGAGATGGGGATAAGACTCTTATGACTGAATCCAATAGTGAGTAATTGTTATGACTAATTGTGATTGTTGCAACTGTAAAAGTAGAAGTTTTGTAGCAAAAAGGGAGGAGTGGTTGATTTTAGTCTAGGAGTGGAGGACCCTGGGACCATCAAGGGAGAAGAGTCGGAGCAGAGTGTGGGATCCTAGCTAGACAAGCAGCGACACCAGAGATGGAAGCTGGAAGCAGAGATGATGATGTGGAGCGATGGAGCAGCTGAGGACTCGACTCATGGA